AGGATGTTTGTGGGATAGTAGAATATTACACGGAGTATGTTGACTGTGCTCAAGATATGTATGTGGGTAGGTCGTCACAGGGAGAGGAAATTCTTGTGTACATGACGGCGCGGCGGCGTTTCTTTGTATTGTGCACAGAGGGCTATACCATGCAGCGGGAAGCCTTTTTCAAGATACCTGATGCCTAATGCCTAGGTACCGAGAGGTAGGTAAAGTAAGTATGGCGGTGGCCCGATCACAGCATCCCACCATATACAACGCATTTGACGCGAATTAGCTGTTTGCACTGCAAGAGAGCATGTTTATGCATAGAGGGGAAAAAGAACAATAGAAAGGAATAGTCTGACGGTGGGGACTACCCTGCTGCCCACAGAACCAGAACAGAGTCAGATCGATAATGAAGGGGCCGTCAGATGACTTCACCCAATGGCCAGAGCCAGAGAATAGCCAGACAGCAGCAGCAGCAACCACGTACAAGCATGCGTATGCAGCTAGCAGACCTACAGTCAGCACACTCAGTGTTCGCGTACCGTTCATCAGCGTGCTCCGTCGAAAGATAGCTGCTTGGCCATGGCATACGTAGATACTCCTTGCATAATCTATCACACATCCCATAATGTTACAGTGAATACATACGACACAATAATACAGCCGCTTCGCAGGGCCTCTCCCTCTATTTGGCCGCCTTCTTAGCCTTCTTGGCCTGCTTCTTGCTCAGCACCTTCTTCTTGACCTGCACCTCCTCGCCCAGCTCGGCCCTCCGCGCCGCCGCCTTGCGCTGGCCCTCGAGGTTGCGCTCGGCCAGCCACCTCCGCCGGCGGAACCACTGCTTGCGCGTGCGGAACCGCGTCTTGCGCACCTGCGCCGTCTCCACCAGCTGGCCGATCCGCCAGTTGTCCTCGCGGTAGCTGTAGTCGTCCCGCAGACGCAGCAGCCTGTCCGGCTCGTTCTCCTGCAGCCGCGTCACCTGCGTCGGGATCCCAGAGGCCGACAGCTCCGGCTCGGGCGCCGCCTGGCGGATCGGGAAGGTCATCTTGTTGAGGCGTCGCTTGCGCTCCGCGTGCACTGGGTACGGCAGCGTGTCGTTCTTGTCAAACACGACGCCAATGTATTTGCGGTCCGGGTGCTTGGCCGGGTCGCGGTAGTACTTGACGTATCCCGTGGCCATGGCGTGGATCGTGTGGTCGCGGCCCATGATGCAGTTCTCGCCCGGCCACCACAGCGTGCCTCGCTGCTTGTAGATGATGTTGCCGGGAATCACGTACTGGTCTGCCATGCCGTTAGCCAACCTCGTCCAACGCTCCCCCCTTCCCATCAATTCAACCACGCACCTCCCGTTCGCTTAGCTCCCAGCTTCTTGGGGATACCCTTGGTGTTCCTCTTCTTGTACGCTCCCTGAGCCTTGACGGATGCAAATCTCCATCCCTGCACCAGGGACGAATTGACCGGCTGCGCGGCAAACGGCGCGACGACGCCATTGAAGCCCGCTCGGGCCAGCCCCGTCGCAGCAGCCAGAATCGGCCGCTGTAGGGCGAGGAACCGCATGGCCGGAGGTTGTTGCTGTGCGGTGGTAGGTGATTTGGTTGTGGATATTCAGAATCCGTTTTCTCAAGCTCCTTCTCGACTTTCCCCCGACCGGGGCAGTTTTTACGCTTAGTCATGTCGACCCATGCCGCTCGCTTATCGATAAGCTTCTGGACAACTATCAGTACCAGCAACCCATGCATTTATGATGGCTTCCACGACCACGTAGAGTTTCCCAACATCGTCTTTTGCTACTTGCTTCGCTTTTTGTCTTTCTAACCCCAGAATAATGCGGTTCCTTATTCTCGTTTTGTCCTTGGTAGGACTCGCCGCTGCGCAATTCGGCGGCTTCTTCGACCAGATGTTTGGCGGAGGTGGAGGCGGCGGCGGCGGCGGCGAACACCAAGCACAGAACCGCAACAATCCTAGCGATGCCACTCACTACCGCGCCCGCCACGATCAATGTTTGTCCCTTTACATTCCTTCTGTAGAGGGCGATGACTGACCATGGGCAGCTTTCTGCGACAAGTACCTCTGCCCCGACACCCTCGCCTGTGTCCACTTCCCGCACCACTGCCCCTGCGCCTGGGATGCGACTGAGGACAAGGTCGAGCTCGCCGAGGGACGACGGATCTGCGCCTCCAAGGGCGGGTTCCGCGAGGGCGAGGCGGCACGAAAGATCGAGCTCGCCAGAAAGGGACTCCTCTAGGTCAAAGGGTCCCCCTACATGACGATATACGAGAAACGTTGAAACAGTCACGGCAAGCAACGATGAAGAGCCGGTCTATGAATGGGAATGGGAGAAATATCTGAAGTGCGATCAAAACGCCTAGCTATGGGGGTCTGCCCTAGGCAAGACCCCTACGACACGCCGTGTTCGTTATGAAAAGGGATAGTTGTACATCAAACACGGCCCCGATACCTGCAACCCCCCTTTGCAACAACGTCCCAAGTGTCGTGGTATTCGCAAAACTCCGAGTAGCGTGACAGCAGCCGCCTTTGTGGCTGTGTCGCGGATGAATACTAATAAAAAGGGGAGGTATAAAACGAATGGAGAAGGCGAGATGTTGGAAAGCCAGTACCCAGCAGTAACAAATAAATAAGAGAAATTCAGATATGAGACAAGAGCTGTTCGTTGGAATGGCGTATACCGTCAGTCGTCAGTCAGTGCTGTATCTGTCGCAAGAGATGTGCTCCGCGCCATGCGAGAGCGTCCCGTAGTGTGATCCGGGGCATACTAGGTAGCGCCGTTGGGCATGGGTGGCATGGGAGGGGGTGCTGCGTCGTCGTCTTCGTCCTCGGGGAGGTCCTCGGGGTGGCCGAGCAGCTGGGCGACGTTGCCCATCTCGTAGTGCTTCTTGCGTAGCTCCTCAAACTTGCGGTGTTTCTCGCGCTCCTCGGCGGAGAGCCCCACCAGGCCGTCATGGCCGTCGGAGAAGCTCTCGTCGTCGACGTGGACGCTCTTTTCGCTGCCGCTGTTCTGGCGAACCATCGGGGGCGGCGCCGGGACTTCCTCCTCCGGCTCGCCCAGCGATAGACCCGGAATGTCGTCCTCAGCACCGCGACGTGCAGTCTTACGGTCAGCAGCAGAAGCGTCCAGCGGGTCCGCCTCCTCGTCTTCGTCCGACGGGTCCTCGGCCGGGTTGTAGTGTTTTGCGTAGGGAGTCTTGGGCTCATCGATCTTCATGGTAGCCGTGCGCTCCTGCTCCGTCAGGTAGAGGTTGGCCTCGTCCCACTTGAGGCGCTGCGACAAGTCGAGGCCGTCGGCGTGGGAGGACTGGCGGCGGGAGGCGGCGAGGCGGGCGGCCGACGAGGACCTGCGGTGACCCGCGTTGATCTGGGTGTTGGCAATGGTGATTTCCTTCTCGGACATGGAACGCTCCCGCTGGGGGGAGGTGGGCGGCGATCCGTGATACGAGTTCTTGAGAATGCCTGGAGGAGGGGTGGTTAGCGAGGCACTCTGCAGCTCGCACAGAGCTGTGACGAGGTCGTACCTTTGGGCCGTTTGGCGTCAGGGCCAGGCGGGGAGTGAATAGGCGACGATTCCACGATGGACGCCATCTCGAAAGCGTATAAGTGGGCGGAAGGGAGGGGGTGGGGTTAAGCGAGGAGAGAAGGAGAGATGCTGGCTGCAGTACGGGAGGAGAGGAGCTGTGTCTCGTCGGGTGGCCTCGGCAGGGAAGAGTACAAAAGTATCGCGAGGTAGATACAGGAGCAGGAGAGGTAGGTAGGCAAGTCAGGTTGCGCGGTGTGACGATGCTTCTTCGGGCTGGGGGGATCCAAGTGGGGGACACGTGATGGAGGCAGAGAGGCCAGCAGACACAACGAGCCGGTCGCGCGACAGCCTAGAAGGGAAAGTAGAAGGTGCTGCTGCGGTGCGGGCGGTGCGGGCGGTGCTTGTGATGCTATCACGGAATCAGGGGCTGGTCTGGTGAAGAAGGAAAGGAAGCCTAGGTAGTAAATGGGAAAAGGGTCGAGAGGTGACGAGAAACAAACGGCCAGAGGTGCATAATGACGCACCTCAGTGCCCCAAGTACCTACATATGTACCTGTAGCCATCAATGTCCCCTCCCACCTTTAGTACTAGTACTTGTCTTTACGCTTGCCGACCGCCGAAACGAATCCCGTCCTGTCTGCCCGCCATGAGATGCCTAATGCGCCATTAGGCATGCAGGTAGCATCGGCCCACTGCGCACCACCAAGCTGGCGATGCGTGGACACGAGGAGCATGAGCATGGGACAATACGATGGATCGATGGATACCTGAAGCTGTACGGAGTACTACGTAGTATGGGGGCCGATTCCCCAAGTGCCCGCATCCACTCCCTCTCCTCACCACCATGACCAAGCCTACCACTCTCGCCCATCATCATCATCATCGTCGTCATGGCGCCCATCTTTTTCCCCCAGACCCAAAAGAAGAAATGCCGCCGGTCCAGCCACCCGCGTGCAGCACCTCGGCTCCCCACCACCGCCTGCCGCGCTTCATTCACACATCCACATGCTCGCTATGTACGATATAATGCGTTATCACAGGAATGCGGTGGGCGGGCAGCACCATGCATGGTTGGGCTTTTGCGGGGGAGCAGGAATGCCAGCCACCTTGTCCATGCCCAAAAAGCCTGCAGGGACCTTGTCAAGGGCCCGTTGGATTTCGATCCTGCGATAAGCGACCTCTGCCCGACTGACCTACACCGGCACCTATTGCCCACGTTTAATCCGTAAAAGCTTGAGAGACAGTGAAATGATAGGCATCGCAACAACAATGCGCAAAATGAGAACACATAGCACGTCCTTACATTCTATTCTTTCTAACCACTCATCTCATTCCATTCGGTTTCTCACCTACCCAAACCCCAACTTACCTTAGTAGTACTTCTCACCAATCACCACCCTCCATATACAAATCAGAAAATGACACAAAAATGCAATCCACCATCGCAGTGAATGCAGAGGCAAAATAGCAATCCATTGCATCTCTCCGACCGGAATTGAACCGGTGACCTTCAGGTAACAATATCCTATTACAGCCCGACGTGATAGCCAACTACACCACAGAGAGTTGGCCGCTGGTGAGGCTACGATTCCTATCAACCCCAGGCCCAGCCGCAGTCTCCCGGCACCTTGCGTCCTCTCCCACCTTCTTCGTGCCTCACTGGTAGGTATTAGGTACCGTTTGTTGTGTGTCGTTGCGACGATCTTAGAATTACTTCTGTAGCCCCGATAGCGGAACACCCGTTGTGCGCTGGTTCATGCACCTCAGCCCAAACAATGACAGCGCCTCCCTCTGCACGTCTCCATGGATCGCCCCTGGATGCGGTGCAACTACCAAATGCGTGGCCGTCAGGTACATGCAAGCCACTCTGTCCCACGCATGTCAGCCCGCAGCATCACAGCATCGGCTATGGGGCTCCTACGTGGCTATCTGCAAGCGACTCCAGCCATGTCAGCGTAGCGACCTCGGCCAAGCCATGCACCATGTTGTCCAATTCACCAATCACCATGCGCAATTGGCTTCAATTCACTTTTTGCATCCCACACCTATCCATCACGCCATGTCCCTTCCAACAGCCTGGCCTGCGCGCGCCATACGTGGAGCTCGATTCTCCCACCACGTCTCCCTCACTTATCCACACACCCCTCGACCGCCTCATCCCCTTCCAGTCCTAGTAGTAGACTCTGAGACATACACCAGAGCCATGTGCTGGCTTCAGCATTCCTCGACCGCGTCTAGAACTTTTGGGCCTGCATCGGGCTTCGCGGTCTTCGGGCCGTAGGTGGATCTCGGGGTGTTCTGTTCCTCAGTCCCGGGACCCCTGTACATGATAACGAGGCACCGATGCCATTTGATTAGAATCATGTCCTGGCCTGGGTAGCATGTTCAAACTTCTTGGCTTGGGCCGACTGCCTAGGCGAAAGAGGTCTTGTCCATGCGGTGGGCGGGATTCGACAGGCTTGGGGTTGTGAAACCGCCATGAATGAACAGTGAATGAATTTATAGTTCTATGGCAGGCCCCCTCAACTCGCCGGCAGCAAGGCAAGGACCGCAGTCAACAAATCATAAGCCGTCCGGTAACACACACTTTTCTCCGACTCCCCGCCCCAGATGTCGATGCAGCTCCGTAATGTATCGAGGATAATCTGCCGCGGTGGAATCCCAAACTCCACCGTCGTTGACTCGTCCGCCGATAAAGGCGCATCCTTGCTCAGCACATGAAGTGCGGCTGTCAGGGACGCCGAAAAAAAGTCTATCAGGAATCCTCGGCCCACCAAGTCCAGACGCTGTCCATTGTCGTTACACCACAAGTCGCGATAGTGTACAAGCAACGCCAGGGAACACTCGAGTGAGGACCAGTAAGCCTCAGGGTACATCACCGGTCCATCTTGGTGAAGCGCAAAGGGGCGATACAGAACCATCATGCAACGCCGCAGATAAATGTCGAGCGTGATGCGTTGAAGCTTCCCTGTACACAGCTTCTGTGCTCGAGATAGTAAATCTCGAAGCTTGCCCGTATAGGACAGTACATCGGAATACGACATCTGGTTCAGTTTCGAGTTGACTTTGGACAGCACCTCTATGACGGTGGGTAGAGATTGGAACAAGACGAGCTCTAGGCTATGAGCCTGGCCCCAGTCGGGCAGGTCTTGTAGACCGCTCAGCTCCTCTGGCCTCGTGAGAGGAGGCATGCCAGTGCACATGGACATTTTGATGTCGAGATAGAGAAGGGTGAGCCAGAGTCTCTGGCGCGCATCCTTCTCGGATGGGTCCTGGCCCTCGGCGCCCTTGTCCGTCTCCTGGGGAAGACCATATATGAAGGCCATCCGGATGGCAAGGCCCAACAGAGACCAGCACGAGTCTATAGACCAGCAAGTAGCGTTGCAAATCTGCTTCGCTATAACCATAAGCGCCACTGTCCTCAGAGTGAGAAGAGTCGGGCGAAACATAAAGGGGGTCTGCATCAGACATGCTTCAGCAGCCATCATCAACTCTGTGGCGGCATGAGACTCTTCATTCTTGGCAAAGCAACCCAGGCCCATGACCATGAGCAACTGCGACAACCAGCAGAGGTTGAATGAAAGGGGGTCGACCCAGTACTGTTCCACCTCGCGCAGAAACCGGGGCATGTCGAGGATGGGATTGACGCAGTCCAATACTTGGATGTATATATCGATGTACTCCTGGCATCGTGGACGCTCAGTCTCGATAAGGCGGGCGACGCTATCGCGTGGAAAGTACTTGGTGGCTCCAGGCGTGCCAAACGGAAAGTTGCCTGGAAGGGTAAAGTTGGAGAGACAGGCATTGGTGGCCACGTTTTCGAGGGCTGCAGCCAGTCTGGGTGATTGGGTAGGCAATACTGAGCCGATCTGCCATCATGTTAGCCATGACAACACCAAAACACAACGCTTGCAGTGTAAGAAGTTGTGGGCTTGTGCCGGCTCAAATGATCGGTTGGGCGGCGCCGCCTTTGTGCAATATCTGCCTCTATACCAGTCGCTCTGCTGGAGTGTGTGCGCAATAATGAATGATTGGTGCCTACCTTGACCATGAGTTCCTTCCAATGAGTTGACCCACGAACCCTATGCGTAGTAGCCCAAGTAGCTAAGGGGGCGCCCGGGTTGTCCGTCGACGTGGAAGCGGGTGCCGTAGGACAAGGAAACTTGCCGCCGTTGGGGCCTTTGTTGTAGCTGTAATAGCATTCTCTGCCATTGCCACTGTTCTTACAACGTCCACAGGGAAGTTGCTTATCGCACTTGACCTTGAGTCGATGACATCGAAGGCAGCTTAGGCAGTTTCTCTTGCGTTTGCGAATAATGCGCTGCGCGGTGGCCTGGGCGGAGCTATCTGCAGCAGCGCCCGAGGGATCGGGGCTTTCGGCAGACGTGGAGGGAGAGATGAGTCCGTTGGTCGTCGGGGTGGCAGATGGGTCATCGTTAGCCGGAGAGGTGGTGGAGGGTTCGACGTCAAAGCTGCAGCGGACGGAAGCTTGGACACAGCGAGTGCAGGCAGGTTTGACGAGGTCGCAGCGGCGCTTGAAGTGACGACAGCGCTCGCAGGTTTTGACCTCCCGCACGTGTGGCATGGCCACCAACACCCTCGCGTGGGAGGGTGGGTGTACCAAGATTGGTGGTGGCAAGGTCTGCGCCAATAGTCTGCGTACCAAGCTCAAGTCTCGTCCGACATACGCAAGCGCGGGTGTCGCAAAAGGCCGCGTCCCTCGGTGGGATGGGTCGTGTAGTAACTTGTCAAGACAAGTGTCTGCGCATGAGTGATAGAAGCAAGCGGCGAGCCGAGCAGGGAGGGAGAAAGAAAGTCTCGGGGTCGCAACAACGGACGGGCTGAATAAGCCAGCGGTACGGGGTGGTATAGGAGATGCGAGGAGGTGGCGAGGATTATAGTGAGGTTGCAATGTTTTGAGACCTGCGACCAAAGTGCAGGACAAGTGGGGGAGATGAGAGGGAGGGGGGCAGTAGTTGGAGAGATCTGCTGGCCAGGCAATGATCTATGCAGCACTGGGGAAACGACGCGATCAGCAAACGCTTGCAAAGAAGCTCGGAGGGAGTGGGATGGACGGGACAAGGTAGGATTCGAGATGAGATGGGATGGGATGGGATGAAATGAATCGGCCAAGGACTCCCTGGAGACAGTGTTTGGTGGAGCAGCAAGAAGCAGGCAGGATCTATCCGGAGGATGCGGCAGGTTGCAGTCTGGTTCCTTCCCTGAGGCACCTCACTTGGCTGGCGATCAGTAGAGATACGCGTAAGATAAGGCCCTAAGGTGCTAAATGGTTGAAATGTAGTAAGCTACGGAGTACATAAGCTGCACGACCGAAGGTTTGGAGAATAGAGGAGACGAGAGGGAACCGAGAAGGGGAAGGGGGATGCTGCAATAACAGCAGCAAGGGGCCCTGCACAGTAAGATTGATCGACGGGCATGCAAGTTATAAGTAACCGGTCCAACCGCACCACCAACACCACCACCAATAGACACCCGGAATGGCATGCAAGGTAATAGGCGAGCATCGTGGGCATGCTTGCCAGCAGTGCCGGACTCAGTCAGTGAGTCTCAAGGAGGTACAGCACAGTCGAAGGATGTCCCCGGCCGGGGTGGGGGAGCTCAAAAGCCCCGAGCGGCGGTGGCTTGCGCTAGGCGGGCGAACGGGAGCGCTGAGGGATGGTTGCTAGCGGGGGCGGAGACGGGGGACTTCAGGGTGGGCTTTAGGGCTGCCAGCATCACCCAGCTCGCCAATAGGGCTTAGCGTGGCTCCTTAGGGCCTCCAGGCTTCCTGGATGTTTGTTGGTTGTTGGTGCTGGTGTTGGCTATGATGGTGTTGGATCTCTGGTAAAATGCCCTGTACACTGCTGGGATCAAGGTCAAGTGGGTAGGTGTACAGACAAGATGCAAGAACCAACCGTCAAGGTCACCTATCAGGGTCAGGGCGCTTTGAGCACGTGTCCTAGCCATGTCTCGGAGGATGCAGGATAAAAAATAATAAGAAAACCCCAGCGGGCTCTCTCTCTCTTCTAACCAGAACAGAGCATCGCCGTGATAAGTTGTAGGCGAAGGAACCCCAAAGTAGAAGGTGTCCGAGGCATCGCTCGTCTCGGCGAGACAGTCGAAACACTCAACGCCATGGATTGCTGCGCTCGTATTCCCCAGCTCCAGCCGTCCTTCTTCCTGTACGGCAGCTGGCTGACGTGAACCAACGAGCAGCCATGCCCATCAGAATACTAATCAGGCCATATCCCGGGGGGCACAATAGCCGCGACGCAGCGTCGCCAACCCAACAGCGCTTCTTTTCTTTGCGCAATATAATGCCCCTGCTCAGCTGAGCTGCCCAGCTCACAGTCTTGGCTGACCTGGACCATCGTCACCTCTGTTGTATATGAACTGCCGGTTCAGTACCGGCAAAAGTACCCTGGAGGCGCTAACTGTTGCCTACTGCTAGTGCCTAAAGTCCCTAGCGACGTCTCAGTCTCTTCACAACGCGAAGGATGAGAAGCAAGCCTCAGTAGGTGTCATAGTCACCTCTTGCTGGGCGGTATCCTTGCCGACTCAATCCT